TTGCTAAGTTTATTGTGCTAATTCTGAGTTAAAGTAGTGATAAAAAGTGCTTATGAGCATCTAACAGCCGTATTCTAACAAAGTCACAAACTTTAGCTCCTCACTGCTGTAATTTCTACCGCGCCTCAAAGCTTGCCGCTCAAAAAATATGCCGCTTCAATTCAATTTTTTAAATTTTTGTGTATTTTTCTAGCACTCAAAATATAATTTTTTTGTGGCACATTTCTCGGCGCACTTGAAACCCATACAGTGATGAGCTAAGTTTTGTGACTCTGTTGGAATAGAGGGGTTAGTGTGAAATAATTGAACCTAAGTGAAAGTTATTGTGTTTTATATTAAACTAAATTTAATTAAATTTCACTAGCATACATTCTAATATTGCCGAGTCATTTGTTGCTATCATTGTTGTTGTATCCTTTGTAGTTAACTGAATTCATTTTGTTTTTGCACATTTGTTCTACTCTTTTTGTTTACTTATTCTAGTAATTCTTGTCACAGCTGTTTGCGTTTCGTTTATTAAGTGTCATAATTACAGTGATACTCAAACTGTTCGCTACATTTATGTAAAGCTATTTACTTCAGCTCCTTAATTGTTATAATTTATTTTGTTTGTCTTTTTATTAACGCGTGTTATTACATAAATCTTTCAATAAGAAGTGCGATCTTGATACTTGCCAAATTAAAAGCGATTCTGAACGCTACTTATCGTGCTGGCTGTGTGATGGTATTTACCATCTGAAATGTGCTGGTTTGACGAGAAGAATTCTGGACGCTATTAATTATGGCAAGGGCCTTCGCTGGTCTTGCGTAAAGTGTAGGTCAACCGAAGTTGATCTTTTCAAACTTTTTAGGCAAACCGGTAATGGTTTTACAGAAATAGGAAGAGAATTGTTGGCACTGATAGAAAAATTTAAGCATTATGAAAATGTGTTTAAATCATAAAAAAAGGCTTAGATAACTTGCAATCTGTTAAGGATATCCGTGTGTCTAAACGTAAGCGTCTTCATAGTCCATCTAAGGAAATTATTGCCGTTGCACGTCAGAATAATCTTCCGAGTGACTTAATTAATCCAACTTCTCCATGTCCTCCAGCATCAGAATTCTCAGCCTCAAAAGAGCTTGTAACGAAATCTATTTCGGATAATAACGAGCCTGAAGTATCTTCCCCTTCCCCCATTGAAGAGGTGGCATCATCTTCAAAGCCTCCACCTCCTTCCCTATCCTCAACTACTAACGCAGTAACTCAACCCCATCCGCCGGTACTCCAGGCTGATACAAGGAAACTAGTTGTGGTTCAGCCAAAGAAGTCAATCTTTGTCTCTAGATTTTCGAGAGACACTACCGAAGACGATATAAAGCTTTATATCTCATCAAAAATTACAACTGTCGACTTAAGCATCAGAAAATTTAATTTTAAATACGAAAGAAATATTGGGCGCATTTAT